GAGCAGACTGAGCGGCAGGCTCTCCCTTTTGTGTATTTAATGTTATTTTTTGTCTTTCTGAGGTAGGGTCTCACTATGCAGATCAGAATGGCCTTGCGCTCACTATGGAGCCCTGCTGGCTGCCAACTCGAAGTGATGCTACCACCTCAACCTGCCAAGAGCTGGGATCATAGTTGGGTGCCAGCATAGGTGGCCACCAGCCCTTTTTTAAAAAATTTTATTTTGAAAATATACAACAGAACAAGACAGAATAAAGGCAACTAAGATCGTACAGTGAAATTAGTACAGAACTTCACAGCAGGTTACCGGGATAACAGTAATAGGTATCACAGTATATTCTGTTATCTTTATAATAGTTGTTCTTTCAATCACGTATATCAAATTGAGATGAAATATAGAACACTATAGAACTTATCAAAACAGAATATTGAATAGAGCAGTACCATTAATCAGAAAAGAGCAAAACAGTAATAAAAATATCTGTCTTCAAAGAGATGGTAGAAGGAAGTCCCCCTTCTTTGCTGTGGTCAACCTCCCAGGAGACACTCAGATTTCTGGTTCCAATTTGCTAATGGGTGGTGTGGGGGGCGGGAGAAGGGGGACAGGAAAAGTGGGATATTTGACTTTAGGCCGTGCATCAGTAGGTTCACTATTGCTTAGCAGGGAGGCAGGCTGGTTGTTTGGTTTCACAGCATCCTAGGTTCCAACATGGCGCGGATCTCAGGAGCTGCGGCTGATTCTCCCACTGGAAGGGCCGCAGTCTGCCACACTGGCACCGATTACCAGGGAGGGGAGGTGCTTGTTTCTCCACCAGCCCTTTTAAACTTTTATTTTATTTTAGATTTTGCGGCAGGGTCTTTCTAAGTCAGTGAGGTGCCCAGTCTTCCAGAGTGCTGGAATGGCGGGCTTGCACCATCACACTGCCTGAATCATTGTTTCTTAAGCAATTTCTAAAGCAGTTTCAGTAGATTTATAGATTTTATTTTACTATTCTTGGGTTTCTCTTAGCTTTTTTTTTTTTTAAGATAGTGTCTTGCTATGTAGTTCAGACTGACACTGAACTCACTATGTACACATCTGGCCTCAAACTTCTGGCACTCCTCTGCCTCAGTTTCCCCAGAGCCAAGATTACACCTGTGTACCACCAGGACCAGTTCATCCAGCATTTTATTATGAGACATTGCAAATCTACAAAGAAACCAAAGAAGTTACACAGTGGCCACCTAGGCTCTACCACCAACACTGCCCATCCTGCTTTCCCCATCACTCATCCATCTGCCTTCCCATGACGGTCAAAGTCCCCACAGGGAGAGTGCACTCTCCAGCTAACTGGAACCTGCCCTGTTGAAGGTTTATTAGTGGTTCTTTCTGTTGTTGCTTTAAATCGTCAATACTTGGGTTTTTCCGACTCTCAAGATGGAAAGCATGCAGGGCATGGTGGTGCCCACCTGTAATCCCAGCACTCAGAATGCTCAGCAGGACGGTCAGCGTGAGGTGGAGGCCAGCCTGGGCTCCACAGCCAGCCCTGTCTCAGAAACCACAAATCCCAGAGTGAAAGCTCAGAAGATGGAAAAGAACTGGCCCCTGAATGCAGTCATTCCCTGTCCCTTTTGGCTGGGGAGTGCGGATTCATTTGAAGTTTATGTTGTGCACGACGGAAGGAAGGAAGGAAAGCAGTGTCTCCACACAGTGAGGGCTCCATCCTGCAGCTATTTTAACAGACAGCCACGTAAGCGTCAGCCCTGCTGTGTGCTGTGCAATTCACTTTATTCAGTACACTCACTAAGCTGTGCGACCACTACAGTGTGTTTTAATTATAAAATGTCACCAGGTTCCACAGCGGTTATGGAAAACTGCATCTCTCTGCCAGAGCAGAGCCAGGCCGCCCTCCCACCCAGTGGGCGGTGTCACAGTGGCCTGCTGCTCCACAACAGCCCCGGGAGACTTTGGGACCCATCTTTCCTAAGTCCCTTGAGGTTTCATGAAAAGGAAACGTTTGGACTTGCTTCGTGCAGACAGAAAGTTGACCATCCAGCGACTGTGCCTTAACCATTGGGGCAGGACAAAAGGCAGCAGGAAGCTCTGGGCAGGAGAGAGGCAGAGTCAGCCCAGACTCCCCTGACCCTCCCCACCCAGCCTGAGCAGGGAGTGCCCGCCAGAGAGGCACCTGCACCGAGTGCCAGAGGCAGCCTGAGACATGGGAGGAGAGACCCAGCGTGTCCAGAGCCTCACGGGCGAACTCATTGGCATCCTTAACAAGCAGCCCAATCTGTGCATTGTGCATCATATTTGTGGAGACCATCACGGGGCTCAGGGTCTGCAGGACAGGAGGAACAGGGTACAAGAAACAATGCTGCCCCCCTGTCCTGACACCCAGCTGCCCACCCTATCTGGCTGGGTCTGGAAGGCCCGTAAATGTATTTGCCTGCCAGATGTGGACCTACCCTACACCCAGCCTCTAAGACCCAGGCCCCACCCTGAGGCCTAGAATCTGTGCCTAGATGTGGACCCACCCTAAGGCCTGGACTCCGCCCCCTGGGACCTAGACCATGCCCCATAAGACTTGACCACACCCCTGAGCCTTTGACCTCGCCCTCTGACAGCTAGATCCCCACCAAGGTTGAGACCACAATCCCAGTGACCACAACCCCACTGATCCCACTAAGCCCCTGAACCAGGAGGCTCACATCTCTCTGACTTTGCTCCTTCTGCCCTCTCCTCCACAGCTGCTACCCCAGCCCCACCACTGGAGACTCTGCCACCCCGTGTGGGCACCTGGATGGTGACACCATGAAGAATGTACTCTGCACACACCGCCTCTGAGAAGTTTCGCACAAAGGCCTGCAGGGGGAAAAGAGGAGGACCCAGGAGCACAAGCCTAGGCCCAGGGAGGGGACCCCCACCCTGCGTCCCCACCACCACCCAGAACTTTCCCCCACAATCTCCCCACCAGGACCCAGGGTGAAGGAGGACTTGGGGTGAGATGGCCATCCCACCCGGAGTCTGGGTGTCCAGGTACCTTAGTAGCTGAATATAAGGCAAAAAGTGGGGAGCTCATAGAGCCGCTCTGGGAAGACATGTTGATGATGACACCTTTGCCCCTGGGGAGGAAACCACGTTGGAAGGGTCACTGCCCCGAGGAAGAAGGGGCGGGGTGACTGTCCCTCCCTTGGCAGGAGCCCTACTCTCAAAGGGCTGAGGAGAGCAAAGACTGGGACCTGGCATAGTGCTGCATGCCCATAACCCCAGAAGCCCCGAGGCTGAGTCAGGAGGGTGAAGAACTCCAGGTCAGCCTGGGCTGATGACTTGGAAACAGGGAAGGTAGGGAATGGGGAGACTGGAGGCCAGGGCTGGGGATCCAGCATGAGGGCAGCGAGCAGCTCTCACCTGCTGACCATCTGGGGCAGGACGATGCGGACCATCTGTGGGGCAGAGGAGACACCTATGTTTCCCTGGTCCTCCTCACCCAGGCGCTGTCCGAGTCCCCTCAGGGGCTGACCCAGGAACCCGAGTCCCCAGGATGCAGACCCCCGTGTGGTGGCAGCCACACTGCCCCTGGTCCCGACCCTCCCGGCCCCACTGACCTGTGCCACCGACATCGCGTTGCAGTTGATGATATCTGATATGCTCTGGGGATGAACACGGAGCCCGTCACCACCTGCTTCCCAAGCCCCCACACCTCCCACGTTTCCTGTCTTCCTAGCTTAATCTTTCTTTTTTCCCCCTCACTTCTTTCTTTCATTCTTTCTTTCTTTTTTTTCTTCCTTTCTTTGACACGGGGACTTGCTATGTATTCAGGCTGGCCTCAGACTCATTATGTAGCCCAAGTTGGCTTCCAACTTGCCAAGATCATCCTGCCTCAGCCTCCACACAGTTCTCTGATTACCTGCCTATGCCACCACACCCGGCCGTTTTTCTGATTTTCAAAATTCTGAACACCTTGTAAAGGAAATAGTTCCCACTAAAATGAAACACGCCCCTCCTTCCACCTCTCAACTCCTCTCGTGGCATTGTGCTGCTTTCTAAGATCCTCTCACACCTATTTGTCCCCAGGCTCGCAAGGTGCTGCCTGTCTGTAATCCCAGCAGCCCGGGCAGCACAGCTACAAGGATCACAAGCTCAAGGCCAGCCTGTCTACACAGTTGTTTTAGTGAGGACTTGTCTCCAAATAAAAAGGACCTGGGATGCAGCTCTGTGGTAGAGCACCATGGATTCAGTCTGCAGTACCAGAAAAACAAAAGCGGAGCACACACACAGCAAAGTGACCTAATCTTCACTGTGAAAATAAACAGATGCCGCTGTGGTGCTGCAGGGCTCTCACCCCAGCTCTCAGGAGACTAAGGCTGGAGGGTCGCATGAGTTCGAGTCCAGCCTGTCCTACAAAGTGAGAGTCTGCCTCAGAGAACCGAGAGAGAGACAGAGAGAGAGAGAGAGACAGAGATAGAGACAGAGACAAAGACAGAGACAGAGACAGAGTCAGAAAGGAGCATCAGGAGGCCACAGTGCTCAGCACAGCATGGCGCTAGCAGGAATCAGATAGCCTGACATGTGCGACAGAACGGAGTCCAGGCCTTACGTGGGCCTTATTGCTGACAGGGCACCAGGGTCACCCAGTGGGGACGGGACAATCATTTCAGCCAGTGGTGCAGGGAAGCCGGATACTCACATGAGAAAAGCACCTGTGCCCTTGAGCAGGACTGACCCAAGGCTGGGCATGGAGGTCTACATCTGTAACCCCAGCACTCGGGAGGCTGGGGCAGGAGGATCATAAATTTCAAAAACTACACCACGTACCAATAACATTTTCTCTGTCTCTCTGTCTCTCTGTCTCTGTCTGTCTGTCTCTGTCTCTCTCTCTCTCTCTGCCCCCTTTCCTCCCTTCCTGTCTGGCCTCAATTAGAGAATCCACATACTGGTTCTCCCGTGTAGCTCCTTCTTTAGAATCAGCATTGAGAAATATGAAAGGTGAGAACCAGGCTCTACCTCTACTGCTGTGCAGGTTGAGCATTCAAGGACAGAGTTTGGCTGTTTTATTTTGTAGCCTGTGTATTCTTTTTTTTAAATTTTACTTAAAAGAAAAAAGAGAAAAAACAAAACAAAACAAAGCAGTGTAAGGGTACAAGTAATATAGAACTACAAAAAAAAAAAAAGTAAGAAATCACCGGTTAATAGATTACATATTATCATCTTAGAGATAGTTGCTCAAATCACAGTATCAAAGCATACAAAGTGGACATTCAAACAGTGAGACTGCAAACAGTTGTGTTCAATGATCCAACCAAAAACATTAATATGGTCAGCTATTTAACACCCCTAAACACTCTCGCTGTTATATCATTTAGAACTCTTTTTTTTCCCTCTTTTTTTTACAACAAAATTTACACATTTTGGGTTTTATTACTCCTTAGTTCTTATTACTTTTTTGGGGGGAGAGAATAAAGTCAAATATGGCAAAACAAAGCTGTCAGTCAAACCAAGGATAGACATAGCACATGGTGTAAAAACAGAGTACAAGGTTATCAACAATGGTTATCAACAATGTCTCTTGTTTCCTTGAAAAGAATTGTCTATCTCATTAGATATTATAAAGTTGAACAAAACAGTAGAGAACAAGACCAATAAAACTTAGGCATTGTAAACATTACAGGACTTCCAAAGGAGACAATAGTCAAACCAGAATGGGCATCTTAGTGAATCTTATTGCCTTCAAAGTAGTTGCCTAAACCCACAAACTTGATACTATCATACAGAATGGAACAGAGTCTAATCAGTCAAAAAAGATAGTGGGAATATTACAGGACTTCAAAACAAGTTAATAGGAAATCAAAAAAGTTACTATTATATACCCTGCTAATTTTTTTAATTTATCCCCTTAATTAAAAAAAACATAAAAAAATAACTACATAACTTCTTAATGAATAAGGCAGAGATTGAGATAAAACAGGACATAACAATATAACAATACAGGTCAAAGCATGACTGTGTCAGCAACATTGTTCACCACCAAATAACCCAACTTAATAGTAGTTACCATAGTGTCTGTCTTTTTCCTTGAAATATTTGAATAAAACTTCATATACTATAGCTTCAAGTATTTCCATATCAAGAAGCTCAGAATAAAGCCTTTCCAATTAATAAGTAAAAACTTTATAAGGCTTCAAGGCCACATAATGGGGAATCATGATTACCACATATTTTTATATATTTGAATCATTACTTACATTAGGGAAACTATTTGGTATTCATACATGCGAGATTGATTTATTTCACTTATGAGTATGGTCTCAAGCTGCGCCCATTTATTGATAAATATCTCAATGTGATCCTTCTTTATAGCTGAATAATACTCCATTGTATAGAAATATCACAACGTTTTTATCCATTCCTCAGTTGATGGACACTTGGGTTGTTTCCAAGATCTGGCGATTACAAATTGTGCTGCTATAAACATAGGTGCACATATATCACTGTGGTATGATGCTTTCAGTTCTTCTGGGAATATGCCTAGAAGTGGAATAGCTGGAATAAATGGGTCTTCCAATCCCAGCTTTTTGAGAAATCTCCAGACTGACCTCCACAAAGGCTGCACCAGTCTACACTCCCACCAACAGTGTAGGAGAGTTCCTTTTTCCCCACAGCCTCTCCAGCATTTGTTGTTGTTGGTTTTCTTGATCCTGGCCATTCTTTCAGGAGTGAGATGGTATCTCAGTGTGGTTTTAATTTGCATTTCTCTAATGACTAATGATGATGAACATTTTTTCATGTATTTATTTGCCATTTGCATTTCTTCATCTGAGAAGTGCGTATTCATCTCAGATGCCCATTTTTGGATTGGGTCTTTGAATTTTGGGGGTCTGAGTTTTTTTAATTCTTTATATGTTTTAGACAAGAGGCCCTTGTCTGAGAGACAGTTCACTAAAATCTTTTCCCAGTTTGTGGGTTTTCTTTTCACTATGCTGGAGATTTCTTTTGACATGCAGAAACTTTTTAATAAGAAGTGGTCCCAGCTATTGATTCTGGGAAGTATTTCCCATGAGGTTTGAGTCCTGTTCATGAATTCTCTACCTACTCCTATGTCTTCAAGGTTTCTACCCAATTTGTCTTCCAATAGATTTAGTGTTTCTATTTTAATATTCAGATCTTTGACCCATTTAGATTTTAATTTAGTACATGGTTATAGACATGGGTCTAGCTTTAGTTTTTGGCAAATGGAGAACCAGTTTTTCCAGCACCATTTATTAAAGAGACTGTCGTTCTTCCAGTGAACCTGCTTGGTAGCCCGTGTATTCTGCGCTCTTCGAGCAGAGGGCAGGAGAGAACCGCGAGCAGCCTGGACTCACCTGGCCCACGTCCTCAAGGTCCAGCAGCTTCCTAAAGGCTCCTCTGCCGCCTCCGTACACCATGCCCACATTGTTCACTGCGCAGGAGGTCACACGTGTTCCTCACAGCCCAGGGGACAAGGAATGGGGCACAGGAGGGCACCCAGTATGTTCTGGGTGACTGAAGGAGGCGAGCAACTCACCCAGGACTCCGATCTCCAGGCCTCGCAGGCCTGCCTCAATGGCACTGTAGATCTCCAAGCCCCCGGTGAAGTCGGCCTGGATGATGCGCGTGGACCTGCCGTGCAGCCGCTCTGGGGGATGGGAAGGGTCAGGCCCTGCCCCTGCCCCTGGTCAGACCCAGTATACCCACCAGCAGCTTCAGGCCATCAGGGGCGCCGCTGACCCCAGCCCAGGGAGCCCAGGGCTTCCCCACAGGCTGTGCACTCACCGATCTCTCTGGCCTCCTGCTCCAACTTGTTGAGGCTTCTACTGATGAGGACGATGTCCAGCCCCCTCCTGGCCAGCTGCGGAAATTCAGTCACTTACTCAGCCCTGCACCCCTCCAGCCCTGCACCAGGAGCTGGGGTGAACCCAGGGCCTTCACACTGAGCTCCACTGTCAGCCTTTTTATGTTTTCAGACACAGGCCCCTCAGTCATCAAGACCTGATTTCATCTTGGGGTCCTCTTGTCTCGACCTCCAGAATGCAGGTATGTGCAATGACTGTTGTTTTCCTCATTCTGTCCTGTAAGCCAGGATTAACTTTGTCCTGTCCTTGACAATCAGTGTTAGAGCCCCGAGGTCACAGAGCTGAACACAGGGGAAGAGCAGTGGGGGGGGGGTCCAGGGAGGGCAGCTCTGGGCACAGTGAGCAACTGAGGTAGCTCCTGGGTAGCAGCTGGAGGGCTCCCAGGCGCCAGGAAGACTCTGGTCTCCCCACTCGGGTGTCTGACCCTGTCCTCATTCTCCCTCACTCCTGTGTGCCTAGCAAGCACCTGCTTCCTGCTGGGACATTGGGGACCCACGTTGGCTGGGACACCCCGAACCTCAGCTTTACGCCACAGTTTCCACCCCACCACTGAAGTCTCTCTGCAAAGCCTGAACCGACCCTGCCCCTCAGCAGCTCAGAACCAGCCTTGGCTCCCCGGGGACCCTGCCATAAACCCACAAACCTGTTGTGTTCAGCTGGACCATTGCTGTGTCCCTCTGTGAGAGGCCAGGCACAGCCCTCACTATTGGGGTCCCATCCGGCAGCTCCTGCCTTTTCTGCTCCTGGGTCTTTGCACCTTCTAGTCCTTCTGCCCTGAATCCCTGTCCCCTGGATGCTGAGCTAGAAAACACATGTGACTGGGGAGTGGGTGTGCAGCAGCATCTCAGGGCCTGACTGTCCCTCTCAGCCTGGGCGTTAAGGGTGACATGAGATGGGACTGACTGTCCCTCAGCTGGGAAGGAAGCTCTGCCCAGTGGTCTAAGAGCTCCATGGATCTGAGAGGTTGATACTTGCCCTCCCTGTGCACCACGTCTCTCTGTCCAGGCTGCTCTTATCAGCACAGGAACCTAACCTTATCTTCCTTGTCACTCAACATCCCAACAAGAAATCTTTTGTCCTGACTTTGTTCCTCCAATAGGTCCCTACCACAGGGACCAGTGCCTCACAGTCAGCCATGTGGACATTCAGAGACTGCTACAGCCAGGGTCCAAGGGGGCCTGGCTACTGTCATAGCAGACTTTGGCATCAGCCATGTGATGCGGGATGTAGCTGCATGCAGAAAGAGTTGTGGGGTCAGGGAGATTTTTATCTAGACTTGCAATGAAGGCCTAGGAGTCCAGGCAGTAAGCACTAACAGGGCAGTGCAGGAACCTGTGGGAATGAAGCCAGGATCCGGGGAGAGGGGCACCTCCGATGTATGTGGAACAGCAATGCGGGACATCTTCCAAGGACAGCTGCAGACCCTGAGCAGGATCCACACTGAGAGAGAAGTATTTGTGAGTGACAACCCACTAAGCCCTAGGCTGGGGCTGCCCACAAGCCCTGAAACTCACATCTCAACACCATGAGCCCCACACAGCATCTAGAGGATTTAAGGTTTGCCTGCCTGAGTTTTGGTCTTGCTTTGCTCTGATTCTTTAAAAATCTTCTTCTGCCACACGACAGAAAGGGCATGTTCACCAGGAGGCATTGCACTGGGAGATTATGTAACCTGTCCCTGACTTTCACAGTGGTTCATGGCTTCAGTGTCAGATGAGGCTTTATTTTGGAGTCATTGTCCATGATGGAGATTAGACCTGGCCAGCAATTCAGGCTGGCCTTGAATTCAGGACATAGCACAGGCTGGCCTGGAATTCCCAGTTGTCCTCGTTACTCAGCTTCTCGGTACTGAGGTCCAAGGCATGGGCCAGCCTATTCAGCTTTCAGTGGGGACCATGGACTGGCACTTCTAGGAAACACTGGGACTGCTGAGATTCCGGGGAAGGGACCAATGTGCTCTGGCATAGTCGCCTATCTTAGGTCAAATTACTAATTTAGCGCTGGGTTATTTGGAGACAAGCATGGTTTAAGAAGATGAATTTGGGTGGAAGGTTTAATAGAGGTAAAATATGGGGATGAAGGGTAATGAAGTGACCTTGAGTGTCCTGGGAGCCACGTGAGGCACCTGTGTGGCATGCTCCTGTGTGTGTCTGCATGGCCACCCAGGTGTGATTCAGCTCTGGCCCCTTGCTCTCTGGTGGGTGCTGTCCCCGTGCTGCTCTTCCCAGCCTATGTGAACTAAGCAGCTCTGCTCTCCCAGGCCCTCCCACCACACTGTCCCTGCTTTGGGGCCAGGCAGCCATGGACTGACTCACAGGAAACCAGGAGCCAGCTGGGCACAGTGGTGCCCTCCTGTCATCTCAACACTCGGGTGGCTGGGGTGGGAGGATCTGTGTGAGTTTGATGTCAACCTGGGCCATGAGTTTAAGAGCAGACTGAACTGCACAGCCTGACCCTGTCTCAAAAACAAACAACCCAATGAATGCGTACAATATACAATAGAGCAAAAAATACGGGAAGAGGTGAAACTGTGGAAAGCCGTGGCACACTCTGATAATCGCAGCTCTTGGGAGACTGAGGCAGGAGGATGCCTTCAATTTCAAGGCCAGCCTGGGTTACATACTGAATTCGAGGTCAGCCTGGACTACATAGTAACTCAAAACAAATAAAATAAAATCAAGGAAAGAAAAGAATAGAAAATAAATAAACACTGTTAATAGACAAGAAGGTTGCTTAAAGGTAAAATATGAATAAATTATAGAGGAATGATTACATTTGTAAAAATGCCTTCTCCAGAGTGCCCCCCTGGCTGCCAGTACACTCACCCCAGCCTTCCCGCTGCTCTCTGAAGAGCCCTGGAGGTCCTCTCTCATGGCTCTCAGGGTGTGAGGAGGAATACAGTTTCTGCCCCTCTGGGTGCCATCCAGGGGAAAGGCAGACTCGGGGAGCCCTTGCCCTACTGCCTCACCCACCCCATTCACTGGATCTGCCACCGTGGAGCTCCTGGCTTCCCCCCAGTCACCATCACCAAATGCTCACCCTTCTGAGCTGCTTCAGCACACGGAGGCAGCCAGGACAGCACAGCTAACGCCACTCACAAAAGAGGACTCAGGCCTGCTTCACAAGCCTGAGAATGATGGGATCCGTCCTCTTTCCTGAGTGTCTCCTTCACCCTGACCACCACCTCTCACTCCATGTGCCGGACCTTGCTTATGTCCCTCTGCCCTGGCTGGAGGATAAGCTCCACGAGGGCAGGACTTTCACTCTTGCAAAAACTCTCTTGTGCTCACTGCTGCATCCCCAGGCCCAGGAAGATGCCTGGCACAGAGTAGGTGGTCAATAAATAGGATTTGAAGAAATGAACCAGGCAATAATGAGAGGGATGAGAGGGTGAGGGGGCACTTAGCTCTTCCCAGGCAGTTGGTGACAGGGAAATCAGCACGGAAGCCACCACCCCACTCACCTCGTGTGCGTAGGCCTTGCCAATGCCGCTGGTAGCTCCTGTAACCACTAGGAAAGAGACCAAGAGGCAGAGGGTGGGCAGCTTCCCGGCTGATTTGAGTCCTGTTGCAATCCCCTGACCCCTCCGCAGTCCCCCGAGGACCCTCCTGGACTGGCTGCCTCTGCTCCAGACAGAGCCCCCTCTGCTAGGGCTCGTTACCCTCACTGTCCCCTGTAATCTGCACACAGCCCCAACCAGTTTTAGTTTTTTCCAGACAGGGCCTCTCTATGCAGCCTGGGTGGTCTCAGCCTCCCCTGGGTGCTCCTTACTCAGCATCCCAGGGCTTGGAGGGTGCCCCAGGCTGTGCCCCAGGCCTGGATTCCGGGCTCTGCACATGAAAGCTGTGCTGCACACGGGTGAGCAGAGGCGTCCTCCCATGTCCTGTCCATCACCCCGCTCCTCTCTGCCACCAGCTCTTCTCAACTGTACCGCGTTGGAGACTTTGTGCCTTCCTTGCCCTGCTAGCATCAGCCTTTTGCTCTCTTGCTTCTTTGAGTCCCTTGGCCTCTGTCTTGATTGGGAGGAGGGGTTCCCATGGGTCACCTGTCACCCGTCCTCCACCTCGCAGCCCCCACCCGCACCGCCTCAGGAGAACCCCGGGTCCCTTACCTGCCCAGGCTCCCTGTGCCCGGAGCCAAGCGTTGCCCCTCCGGACCTGAGGCAGCAGGTACACGTACACAGCGCGGGCCACTCCCCAGGTCCCCCGCAGCAGCAGCCAGGCGGCCGTGATGGCCCCCAGCGCGCTCAGCGCGTCCCACTGGGACTCCATTGCAGCTCTGCTCTGCAGCCTGGGACCTGCAGGGCAGGGGTGCACGATGCCACTTGTCTGCTTTTGCTGGTCTTTGCCTCCTCCCAAGCGCCCAGCGCGGGCCACAGCCCCAGACCCGCCCCGGCCACGCCTCCATCCGCACTCAGACTGAGCCAGAGTCTAGGAGCCCTAGCCCCACCCCCTGCCTGGGACCGGGAGCTGCATCTGGGGAGTTGCATCTGTTTCCGGAGCTGTTTGCTCCTATCTCCAATCAGCCTGGCTGCTTTGAGTTCCTGATTTAGTGTTTCTGTTTGTCTGGGTTTATTGTTCTTTTCACACTGGGTCTCCCTGTGCAGTTCAAGCTGGCATTCTCAGTTACTTTTCTTTTTGCTGAGACAAAATAACCAACACCCAAAGTTAAAGGAAGAAACGTTTTTTAGCTCACATTTTGGAGCTGTTTCTCCCTGTAACCGGAAGTCTCCAAGGCAGGTGGCAGAGCAGAGGGGCATCGCAGAGGCGCAGTGGTCCCGGCCAGGAGGAGGACAGCAAGAGACAAGCCGCAGCAGCAACAAGCGCTGAGCGCTGGGCGCCTCTCTCTGTCTCTTTGATTTTACCCCGCAGCGCTCATATCTAAGGAGGGGCTCCCTTACTCCTGCCCAGAACGATGCCAATCCAATCGGTGGACTGGTTTCCTACTCACACACACTTGATCTCACACAGACTTGACATCACTGAAAAGCCCACCTGTGACTGCAGGAGGCTTGGGGGGCCCCTGAGACACAAGCTGTGTTCTAGTCCTTCAACTCAGTGTGCAGTCCAGGCTGACCTCAGACCATTACAGTCCTCCTGCCTCAGCCTCCCAAGGGCTGGGATCACAGGGCTGCATCTGGAACCACGTAACCCCGCCCAGTCAGGCCTTCCTTTCTTACACGTCATTGGGAGTGGCCATTGAATCATGAAGGCCTCCTCTACACCCACTTTGGGGCCACCTCTTGTGTCCTTAGTGTAAATTTATTCTGAGCTCTAGAAATTTCCTTTGGGTTGTTCCATGAGCAGGCTAATTCTTGGACTGAGCTCCCAGTAGAGTGAAAAGGTCCTACTTGTGTCTGTTCAGAGTCTTTGATATGGAAAACCCTCCATAGCTGCAAAGATTTGAGAGCTCTCACCCTAAACAAGTGTCTCGGGTGAGTGGGAACATTGTACGGGCAGAGCACACAGAGGGAGAGAGAAAGGTGCCAGGAGGGATGGTGCACACCTGTAATCCCAGCTAGTGAGGAGGCTGAGACAGGAGGAACACAAGTTAAAGTCAACCCTTGGCAATTCAGTAAGGTCCTATTTTGAAATTTAAAGAATTCTTTTCTTTGATACCAGGGATTGAACTCGCAACCTCGGGTATGCCAGGCAGGAGCTTATGCCACTGAGCTAAAATCCCTGGCCTTCAAATGAAATTTAATAAGGCTGATGGTATAGTTGGGTTGTCTATGTCCATCCCCTAAAACTAAATTTAAAAATAAGAAAGAATTGGGACCAGGAATTCAACCCATGAAAGAGAGACAAGCCAGCCAAAAACCAATAATGTTCATTTGACAAACTATTTTTAAAGGGAGCAACCTAGGTTTCTGTGCTGGGACACGTGAGTAAACCCAGCACTTAAAAAGTTGAGGCAGGAGAATTGCAATGAGTTCAAGGCTAACCTGAGCTGAACAGTGAGGTCTAAGCTTGGCGTAAGTGCATAGTAAGGCCCTGTCTCTGAAAAATAAATAAGTGAAGGAAAATTGAAAAAATAACGAATGATCAAAATATTTTCATGTCGTCATCTAGGAGAATCAGAACCCAGGAGAGTTTAATAATTAAAGGAGATTCCCAGGAAGATGGCAGAGAGGTGAGCAGCAGAGAAAGAGCCTCTCCTAGGTGCGGTGTCAGATGCTGCAAAGCTGCAATGTGAGCAAGAGAAGAAGCAGGGACATGGGCCACCAGGACCCAGCAAGGCTCTGCAGGGAGAACTGAGGCTCACAGGGAGAGTGAAGAGGGAGACCCCAGTGAAGACGAAGAGGTGGCAGAGCGCGCTTCCTCCCTGAGCCCTGACTCAGTCCTGGGAGGGGCGGCTCAAACCTGCAGACCCCTGGTGACCACTGCTGACCCCAGAGGGCTCCACAGGAAATGCACAGTGGATCAGAGCGGTGAGTGCAGGACCCTGCAGTGGCTGCGGAGTTATTCAGGGTCAGACGTTCCCCAGGGAGGAGGATTGGCTGGCAGCCACCCTGGAGAGAGGACAAGTGAGCTTGGAGCTCAGAGCAGCTGTGAGTTGGCTGCATCCAGGGTCAGCTGAGGTGGAACCCAGTTCAGCTCAGCAGGAGGTCAAGGAGCCCAGTTCAGGCCAGCTGCAGGAGGCACAGGGAGTGCTGCAGCCCAATCAAATCCAGTTACAGCCTCACAGCCACAAACCAGCCTCCACTTCAGTAGAGCTGAGGTGCAGGCAGGCTGGGAGTACCCATCTCCCCACTGTAAACCTACTGCGGGCTTGCTGGGATTAATCAGCACGGAACTGGACTCTGTTGTCCACTCTGTCGACCAATAGCAGCAGAGACCTGCATTAGAGATTCTTTCCTATGTTTTCTTCTTTTTTTCTTGTGATTTTTGTTCAGTGCTTGTCTTCTATTTTGCTATTTAAGACAGGGTCTCTCTAGGTAGTTCAGGATGCATTTGAATTCACTGTGGAACCCAGGCTGTTCTCACCTCCCGGCAATCCTCCTGTATCAGCCTCCTGAGCACTGAGAGTACAGGTGTGAACCTCGTCACTGGGCATCATTTTGAACAGTTTATTGTTGTGCTGTGAGTGTGAACATCCTCTCTAGATGTGTCAGTGTTGTTGTGCTCTGTTCTTGTTTTTACTTCTTACTTCTATTTTTTCTTTTTTGAGACAGGGCCTCACCGTGTAGTTCCACTCAGTCTTGAGCTCAGTGTGTAGCACAGTCTGGCCTCAGAGTGTCAGCAGTCCTCCTGCCTCAGCCTCTCGGTGCTTATTTCTTCCTTCCCTGTTCCCTCCCGGTCTCTTCACCAGTTTCTCAGTTTGCAGCGTCTTCTTTGTCCTCCAGTCTGCCCTCCAAGCTCTCCTTCTCCTTTCCCTTCTCCTCCTTCTCCTCCTCTTCTTCTTCCTCTTCTATGCCTCCAGTTTTCCTCTCCAACCCTTCAAAATCTTTTCACCCTGAAGGTAAAATAACCACACTGAGGTCAAACTACTGTACACAGTTTTCTGGTTTGCTTTAGATTTTTACATATAACTACAAATATGGTGCATACAATTAAAGGTTGCAAATTAATACTTGACATAATCTACATTTTGTAGGCTGTGTTCAACACTATATGTTGTCCTTGATCTCAGGTTTTTTCTATTAAAATTGATAACTATTATGTTAACATTCTACAGAAGCCAGGTGTGGGGGAGAATGCCTCAGTCTCAGAAATTGAGAGGCTGAGACAGGAGACTGACTGTGATTTCACAGACAGGCTAGGATACTTAAGTTAGTTTGAGACCCTGTCTCAATAAACAAACAAACAAATAAGCATCTAGGAGTTCAGCTTCTAATACAGTCATTGCTGATGAAAAACAACAGTTACCTGACTCGGCCTCTCTGTGTTGATGTTGACTCTGCCTGTGCTATGGAGACTCTACAAGTGATTTGTTGGCCCTGAATCATAGTAAACATGAGGAGATGCTCTTTCATGGTTCCCCAGCACCATAATGGACAGCAATGCCGATTGCCTTACAAACTTTCCTCCAACTCTGACACCCTCACCCCCTGGTAACCCACTACACAGTGAGCCACTGAGCTCCTCCAACCCAGTCTGTAAAACAAAAAATGGAGAATATGGACCAATAATCTAACTTAACTTAATAAGATTTTAATTGTTAAAACTATGGTTCAGAAGGTTTCACAGCAATGCAGGAAAAAAGCTCCACATTCAGCTGCACAGATACTGCACAGCACAAGGATTCCCTGCACTTCTGAAACCTGTTTCTTGCAAAGATCACGTAAGTCACCTGCAACTCCAACATTACAAATGTCAAAGGGCTGCATGTCATCTGAGTATGCTGACATACACACTTCAATAAGCAACATGGTTTACTGGGCTCACCTTCCTGCCTCACCTGCCTTGGACACCACAAGGGAAAATTAAGCACCACCTCTTTCCTCTAATGACAGCTCATACACAGACAACACCTAACTGCCACGGCCCAGTCCCTGAGGGGACTATGGGAGGGACTGTACCCCTGGGGATTCCACTGTGTGGCACCTGTTACCCACACATGGGACTTTCAGTAAGAGTTTCCATGGTACACAGTCACCAATGTCACTGATAGCGGTTGTATTCCTTTCCAGCAGAGTGGTACAAAGTACTTTTCAACATCTCTCAGTCACACACTCTCCGTATTATGGGACACAGACAATGAGCCAAAGTTACTTCCCTAAAAGCTCATGAGAAAATGGATAAATTATTCACATATAGAACTAGATACTTCAAACCTTAAACTTATAATACAAACCTGTATTTGGGACATTCCTTCTGTGAGAGCTAAGGTGACAACTACTGTGGTCAACGTAACTCACCCATTCAAACCACCCGGATGATTGAGAGCTGTCTCTAAACTGTCTCTGAACAGCTCCTGAAACCACACTGATGTCACACAGGCTCACAGTCACTCAGGGCCCTTAAGACAGCAGGTGGCTGACTCATCCAGCATCAGCGAGCTCTTGGGACAGCAGACACAGAAGCTGGGGTGCTGGTGACCTTTCCATGTGCCTCACTCCTGTAGGGAGTGGCTCAAAACAGCGGCTGCTGTCCTGCCCCTCCCATCTGAGGGCATTTTTGTGTGTCTGCCTACATTTCCCATGATCCTCCTCTGCCTACAACATGCACCTTGTAAGGACCCTTTCACATCAGCCTACATCTCCCATAATTTTCACCTGCTCACAGCACTTCCGCTTCCGCTTACCTAGTTGCCTACACGTGATTTCCTGCTAGTCTGATAGGTCCACTTCATATGAGGGGATCCAAGCTGAACCATCTTATAAAGCCACGTTCCCTTGGACTTTATATCAGCCATGTACACTTCCTGAATAAACGAGACTTGATTGGAATTGGTCAACTTGTCCTCGTCTCTCTTTCCTCTTGCCCAGCCCCCCATCCCCGTACTCTCTCCAGGCGAGGCCCACAGACTGATCTGCGGGCCGGATCAAGTGGCCCCCAATGTGGCGCTCGACCTGACACGAGAGATTTCAATGCGGGACCGTTCACGGGAGTAAACCGCTGGCCAGCGTGATTGTTTTGGGACTTCGTCTCTGTGATCTGTGCGGACGGCCACCTTATGTTTCGCCTGAATCACAGTAGGTGAACGGATCTAATTTCTCTACTGGCTTGGGGCAAGTACTTAATGAGCATGAATTGTTAGTGAATGGCCTCAGGGAGGCACTCAAGGTTAGAGGGATTAAGGTTAAAACTAAAGATTTACTACAGTACTTTCAGTTTGTACATTGTGTGTGTCCATGGTTCCCTTTAGAAGGCCCCATTGATTCTAAAAAATGGAAAAGAGTAGGAGATGCTCTCAAAGACTATTATAGGGTTTTTGGTCTGGAAAGAGTTCCAGTAACTTCTTTTGCATATTGGACTTTAATCTCTGAGCTGCTGACACAATGTCACGCAGATCCTCAGATTGCAGAGATGCTTGCTCAGGGTGAGGCTGCATTATCTGCCTCCCGCAATTGTACCCCACAACCACCAGACCTGTCTAAAGCACCCAGCTCTCCTGGCTCTGTGGTTCCTGATATTCTGGAGTCTTCTCACGATGGCGACTTCTCCCCCTCCAGAGACACTCAAAATGGCGACTTGCCACCATTTCCCCTTTCTGGAGCACATGGGAATACTCAAAATGGTGCCGCCATTCAAAATGGCTCCCAGCGCTCCCTGGAGCTTGGTGCAGTTACACTCCTTCCCCTTTCCCCTTCCTATCTATCTAGGTTAAGTTTCAATTTCCTGAGAAAGCTGTAAAAGCCTTAGGTATCAGTTTCCTATAACCCCTCCCCTACCCCTCATCCGACTATCTGTAATAAAATGTGCTGTTCTTTAAGTAATGCTTAACTTCAAGGAAATTACAGGAAGTTCTATAAGGCCCAGATGCTATCTAACTGTGTCAGGGATTACAACATTCCTGTAGTTTTCGGCTTTAAAACCCAACCTTTCTAGCTGTAAGGCATGCAGTCTCCAAATTGGCTCCTGGAGACTGTGATGCCAGGCCTGGCGTAAAATAAAGCCTTTGCTCCCCAAATTTTAAATTCTTGCTTCCTTGGGTTTTATTCTTGGGTCTGAGCTATCACATTTGGGGGCTTGCCTGGGATGGGAGCAAGACCCCAGACTCATTTCTGAACATTTAAAAGTAAGTACTCTGGAGGGTTTGTCTGGGCCACAGTTCGTTTGTACTCTTGGGGAGGGAATGCCCTCAATTTGGGAAGCGGGGACCTCTCGAGGACAGAGTCAATTGGTTTTTGGATAGTTTGTCCTGAAAGGACAAACTTCGTCCATTTCTGACTCTGCCCCGGGTGGGGAACTGCTCTGTTGGTTAATTTGTTAATTCCTCAAGATCCCAAAATTTAACCAATTTTTGAGCAAAGGCCATTTTGCTGCAGCTTGTCTTGTCTTGTATGTCTGTTTCTGTGTCCATTTGTCCTAATTGTTCTCCTTTTGGTTACCCCAAATCTAACAAAACATTCTCTCCTAGGAACCCCTTCTATGAGCCCAAAACAGACAAAGAGATTTAAATATTTATGTTCAGTGTTTTTGTACTTCAGAATTGTCTGCCTGTTTGAATTTGTTACTAACTTAGGGGGTTGCTGCCCATTTCTGTTGCAGGATCCATATGGCTTATTAAACTCAAGGTTCATAATAGAAAATTATTTCCTTTAGCTCATCAAACTGTGCATGAAGCAACCTTTGTTTGTGTCTTTAATGTTGTGGCGCCTTGTTTAATGCTTTAGTCCTCAATTGATTTCTTGCAACCTTGGCATGCCTTTTAAAAAAAAGAGTATTTTTCTTTCTGGTTAAAATGTAAACATATGTGCACATATATTTATGTATATTTATGGTTTATAAGAATCATATCAACTTTATCAGGTAAAAACCAGGTCATACTATATTTGAGCCAATTAAAAGGTTACAGTTTTTTTTAAAATACAGCATTTTTATGTGGTAAAAAGACATAAAATAATTAAATATGTTTTAGACTACTAAAAGGTGACTTCAAGGGTTTTGTTGAGAGTTTTAATGTTGTCTGAGAAGTGAGAGGAAAGGTAATTGACTGGTAATAGTAAAAAAAAAAGAGAGAGAGGGAAAAAGAAAGTGGTTTTGTTTTCAAGTAAAAATGTCTGGCTGTGCCAGAATGTGGAAGAAGGTAAAAGCTCAACTTGAGAATATATTGTAAGTTATAGAAAGCTCAAGAGGATGTACATTTTATTTGTCTTGGTTTATAGTACTGCAAATAACAGGTTTGACAAGAAGTAAATGTGTTCAGAATTTGACAGTATTAGATCAGTTTTGATAGATTTATTTATAAGATTGGTAAACCTTTGCTGCAAAATGTTTCCATTAAAATGAGATTATAGGTAATACTAGAGATAAGATACAAGTTCTTGCACGTGCTGTGAACATCTAGGAGATTATGCAGCACAATTTTGTTACCTATGAAAAAGCCCTTTTTTGTTAAGAATATAATTTCAGTAAAATGATGGCCTGCCACATGACACCCTGGGACAAAAAGCAGTGTGCCATCCAGATGAAGCCGGCTCTCTGATCTGGAATGCCAAAACCATGTTCTCCTTTTGTCCCACCCCGATTGGACATCCAGAGGTAAGGAGGTTTCCCCAGTATCACCAGTTGTTCTCTTTGCAACTCAGTCGGCCCCACATGTTAGATAAAAATTGCAAAGGTTCAACAGATTTGGAAAAATGCCCCTCAGCCAGTTAATAGAGATAGCACAAAAGGTCTTTGAGAACTGAGAGAATTTACAAGAAGCTACCAACAAAAAGATAACCAAGGTGTTAAAATTGCTCTATGAGAAAAAATTTTTTTAAAAAACAGACAAGAGTTTCTGGGGACAATTGGATACTGTAGGCTAAATTTTACTGAAAAGCTCGCCTCTATATGACTCCTGTAAGGGAGAAACTCAAAACTCATTGAACTGGACTGATAGATGTGAACGGGCCTTCCAGCAGCTCAAGTGGGCCTTGACAGAGGCCCCAACCCTGGGAATCCCTGATGTTACCAAGTCATTCACCTTGTTCATAGATAAACTCAAGGGCATTGCCAAAGGAGTCCTAACACAGGACATTGGCCCTTAAAAGAGGCCTATAGCCTACCTCTCCAAAAGACTTGATCCAGGGTCAGGAGGATGGCCCCCTGCCTGAGAATCCTAGCTGCTGTGGCAATGTTACTTAAAGAAGCAAAAAAATAAAAAAAAACCCTCACTTTTGGACAGAGGATTTCTGTGGTGACCTCCCACAGTTTAGAGACTCTTATCAAAACCCCTCCCAAAAAGTGGCTCTCAAACGCCAGAGTTCTACACTGTCAGGCCCTGCTTCTAGACCCAGAGTCAGTGATATTCAAGACTTCTTCAGCTTTAAACTCAGCCACCTTATGCCTGATGACCACCTGGAGGAACAAAGGACACCTCTCCATGAGTGTGCTGACATCCTCGAACTGCAGCAGAACCTACGGGCTGATCTTACCGACCAGCCTTTGGGAAATGCCAACAACTATTTCATCAATGGAAGCGGCATCATTCAGAATGGCAAACGAGTGGCCAGGGCAGCAGGTGACCACCAAAAAGGAGGTACTCTGGGTTAAGCGGTTAGAGCCTGGCACCTCTGCCCAAAAGGCAGAGCTCATTGCTTTGACTGAGAGGCTAAAACTAGCCACGGGAAAGAGGGTAAACATTTTTGCTGACAGTAGATATGCTTTTGCTACTGTACATGTACATGGAGCCATCTAGCAGGAGCAAGGTCTCTTAACCTCGGCCTGGACTAAGATAAAAAAATGCTCCCCAGATACATTACCACCCCTTGATGCTGCCTACATCATGGGGAGTTGATCTAGATGCTCAAAGTTCTGATATTCTAGAGGCCACTTATAAAGCCTTAAATGCTGCCAACCTAACTTTGGCTGAAGAATTGCTGGTTATGCATGGCACAGGGCTCCCCCATGCCCCTTGCGATCCCACCAATGTTTCTCTGACTACGCTAGAGGAACAAGATTACTTAAATTGTAGTGCTGGTCCCCCCCTTTAGAGTACAACCAGTAGGCTTCAAGGACTCTCTCTGTCTCCAAGGAGGTTTTCATAACGATACCTCCAACATTGACATGGGGTTCGTTGCATTTACTAATTGTAGTTCCACAGTTAACTGGACTACCTCCCTTTATCCTGCTGAAGGACAAGTATTTATGTGTGGAGGAAATATAGCCTATACTCTCCTCCCAACTAACTGGACAGAGATATGTGTAACAGCTGTCCTGTTGCCTGATATGGAGATCCAACCCGGAGATGAGCCTGCCCCCATTCCTAGTTTAGATTACATTACAGACTGCTCAAAGAGGGCAATTCAATTTATCCCTTTATTGGTAGGCCTAAAAATATCAAGAGCCTTAGGTATGGGGGCAACAGGAGTAGGGGTTTCTGTCCAACTTTCCAAACAGATTGTTAGTGATGTGCAGGCATTATCTAGTACCATTCAAGTCATTCAAGACCAAATAGACTCCTTGGCTGAAGTAGTTCTCCAAAACAGAAGGGCACTAGACTTCCTAACGGCAGAACAAGGAGGGATCTGTGCGGCATGGCAGGAAAGATGCTGCTTTTATATAAATAAGTCTGGCATTGTCCGAGATAAAATCAAGAGACTACAGGAAGACCTAGTTAAAAGGAGAGAGCTATTTAAAAACCCTTTATGGAGTGTATAAAATGAAATTCTGCCCTATCTCCTGCCCTTGCTTGGACCACTGCTCCTGGTCACAGTAGGTCCTTGTATACTCAATAAAATAACTACATATGTCAGACAACAAATGCAAGGCATAAAGTTGATGATGTTACGCCAGCACGCCTACGAGCCCCTAACTCAAAATCCTTAAAAATTAGGTCAAAGATTTGACCTCAGTCACAACATCAGAGGGGAATGTTGTAACCTAGTTTTAACCATTGTGCCTCATTTTCTATTCTGTATGCGTCTTAATGCCTCCCCTGCCCTTTCATCCACTACAACCCCTCCACACCCACATTCTAATCTCTTTAACTTGATTGAAGGGGCATACATTGCCTTAAACCATACACAGCCCAACCTAACTCAGT